AGTTGTTTGTCTGCCTAATCGTTATGCTTGTCGCCATTTCCATGTTGCAGGTATGCGTGAGTTTTGTTCATTTGTAATTAACTTCATTTTTAGTAGTATATATTATGACAATTTTTTATTTTTTTTTTTTCACATTTTTCTCCGGTTATTGTTGCATCATAGGTCATGGCATCTGATCAGGAGTTCAGTAAAAAGGTGGAGATTATAAGTAACGATTTTTTTTACCCATATGTTTATATGTATTAATTAATTATGAAATTGAATGATTTGTATGGTTTCCTGAATTGCAGGATGCTCGAGAGGCTTCTAATGTTGATGGTAAGTGTGTTATGCTTCACTCACTATTCCACCTTCTGGATCTTTTACGATTGCAGCAACAACAATTTAATTTTCAAATGTTTGAAATCATTATTTCAAAAGAATTAAATTCCTGTCAGTTGAAAAATTGTTGTAGGAATTTCTCATTATCTTCCCCATAACAATTGCAATTTTTGTACATTCTATGATTTTCGACCCACAATACATATGTCCATCGAAGAATAATAGTTTGTTAATTTGTTTTTTTTTTTTTTCCTCTTNATTGACAGCAACAGAAGGAAAAAAATGCAACGCTGTGCTTTGCGGACAATGCTCGAGATTCAATAGTGGGTGCCATAGAAAATACTGTTGCCGTGAGTGAGGTCTGCAGCGATTGTTAGAAATAAAGCATCATAATAGTCTGTCGTCTCTAGTGAGAAATCTGCTTCGCACGCTGTTGTGATTACTATATATTACAACTCCTCTTGTACTGTCTTTTTGTAATAAGGTCATGTATTACATGCCATATGGAATAAAAATGGATTTTATATCCTTGAAAATTACAAACTTCTGTAGGCCTATTTGAAGTATATATATTGAATCATCTCTTCTTTTTTACTTCAATCAGTACAATAATAATAATAATAATAATAATAATAATGTTTCGAGTACTTTATATTGTTATGGAAATAAGAAAACTATTCTTTTACGTACGAAAAAAAAAAAAATTGACAACTGCAAAATATGCTACTGGTTAAGTGAAATGAAAACTGATTAATTTGTGAGGCTGTTGTCTTTGGAGCTGATAAAAATGATGAATACTATGACTAAATTGGAGGTGAAAGCTGATAAAATGATGAATACTATGACTTCAATTGGACTAATTCGAGTTCAATTACATTATAATTGACCGATATTGTACTAATTTAACTTCAATTGGACTAATTCGAGGTCGATTACACTATAATTGACCGAGATTGTACTATTTTGACTTCAATTGAAATCCGTTTTATCCGTTTTTAATATCTTTTTATTTTTTATAATCCGTTTTTATTTTTTATTTATTTTTATTTATTATTTAAAAAAAAAACTTAAAAACGGATTTAAAAATCCGTTTTTATTTTTTTTTATTTTTTTAATTAATAATATAAAAAAACTTAAAAACGGATTTTGAAAATCCGTTTTTAATTTTTATTTTAATTTTAATTAATAATATAAAAAAATTAAAAACGGATTTAAAAAATCCGTTTTTATTTTTATTATTTTTTAATTAATATATATAAAAAAAAACTTAAAAACGGATTTTGAAAATCCGTTTTTAATTTTTATTTCATTTTTTATTTTTTAAAAGATAACGGGCGATTACACTATAATTAACCGAGATTGTATTAATTCGACTTCAATTGGACTAATTCGAGTTCGATTACACTATAATTGACGAGATTGTACTAATTCGACTTCAATTGGACTAATTCGAATTCGATTACACTATAATTGACCGAGATTGTACTAGTTCGACTTCAATTGGACTAATTCGAGGTCGATTACACTATAATTGACCGAGATTGTACTAATTGTAATCGACCTCGAATTAGTCCAATTGAAGTCAAATTAGTACAATCTCGGTCAATTATAGTGTAATCGAACTTGAATTACTCCAATTGAAGTCAAATTAGTACAATCTCGGTCAATTATAGTGTAATCGACCTCGAATTAGTCGAATTAGTACAATCTCGGTCAAATATAGTTTAATCGAACTCGAATTAGTCGAATTGAAGTCAAATTAGTCCAATTGAAGTCAAATTAATACAATCTCGGTCAATTATAGTGTAATCGACCTCGAATTAGTCCAATTGAAGTCAAATTAGTACAATCTCG